ATGATGGGTGACCAATAACCATAATTAAAACTGAAAAAAAATGAATTATTAAATGATAATATTTAACTGAATATTATGTTTTCCTATTCCTTGGCTGTATAACCTTAGTATGTTTCAGAAATAATGACAGCACACACAGTTTTAAAAGAATTAAAATTAATGAAAAATGTCTGGCAGTGCTCAACCTCCAAGCGCTCAGAGGTTGAGTGCTCACCTAGCATGCATAAGGCACTGGGTTAGATTCTCAGCACCACATAAAAATAAAAATAAAGGTATTGTCTCCACCTACAACGAAAAAAAACAAATGTTTAAAAAAAAATGTTGTGGTTCCCACCAAACTTTTCCAAACTTATATTTTCTAAAACCTGGAGATAAACTTCATAAATACAAAACAAGTCTAGTTCTTCAAAATTCTACTGATTCCAGTATCAGTGATCTTATTAACTTTTTCACACATCTCAACAGAACAGTGACAATGTTTCATTACAGTGACTGTGTATCTGCTGCGCCCTCTAGCGCAGACTTCAATGTGGTACATTCAGAAATGACTGTTTTTCAGCTGTTTTAAATAGCACTATGGTTTATTTTTTACCTGTATTGATGAACATCATTACAACTATTATCTCTCTCATTTAAATGTGACTGAAACCATCCATATCTGGAGTATCCTAATATTTCAACAAATTACTGACATCATGTTTAAAACTGAGCTGTATTTTCAAGCAACTGTGCTTGGCATTATTTACTGCAATTCTACCTTATATTGCTGTGAAAAATGCAGTGACAGGCTGGGGTTGTGGCTCAATGATAGAGCGCTCGCCTAGCAAGTACAAGGCACTGGATTTAATCCTCAGCACCACATAAAGATAAATAAATAAAATGAAGGTATTGTGTCCAACTACATATATGTGTGTGTATGTGTATAAACACGTATATGTATATGTATGTATGTGTAAAATGCAGTGAATCATAAGATCAAAGCTTATACTCAAATTTTCAGGTCTTTTACCATGCATATACTGAATTGGACAAGCTATTGTTAATACCCCTGATTTGTTTATTGTTCTTATTTTGATGCTAAGAAGTTTGTTTGCATTGCACTATGGATTATATTGTTATGCTGTAAAATTCCTTGTTGTGGCTTTTTGCCCTATTGGTTATGTTCCATCAGTTATTCTGTTCACTTATATTACTTCATTCACCTTTTAGAAAACTTGAAATACCAAAGAAATTTGTTACTTATCTATTCTGTGACAGCATTGGCTTGTATTATAATCACTAAAATAACTTTCTCTATGCGATACATAGTTACAGCCATTTTTTATCATACCTTTTGCGTAGCTATTCCAGTCTATACAGTTCTAGTTTCACTGACTTCTTTTTTTTTTCTTTTTTTTTTTTTTTTGGTGGGGATGTAGGGGGTACTGGGGATTGAACTCAGAGGCACTTGGCCACTGAGCCTCACCCCCTGTCCTATTTTGTATAAAATTAAAAAAATTTTTTTTAGAAACAAGGTCTCACTGAGTTGCTTAGCACTTCACTTTTGCTGAGGCTGGTTTTGAACTCGTGATCCTCCTGCCTCAGCCTCCCAAGCTGCTGGGATTACTAAAGGCATGTGCCACTGTGCCCAGCTTGACTGATTTCTTTCATAAAGGTTTCTGGGAAGAATATACAAAAAAATGACAATGTATACAATAGGATAGGCTTTTAGGGACTGATATAACATCTTACCTGCAGTAGGTATTGTGGATTTTCCTCTTACAGTACTATGAGAAAAAACACAGGGGGAAATCAATAGAACAGATCCCTTTCTCAGGACCTTTTCAACAAAGTTCAAAACCAAGAAGTTTCCAGAACCACCAAATAATATGGATGAAGATGAAAATATCAAAGCTGAAAGACTAAAGATCAAAGAGCTAATGAGTTGCCAGTGTTGTGAGGAGAAACCAATCATCATGCTGAGCAATTTGCATAAAGAATATAATGACAAGAAATATTTTTTTAATCTAAGAAAAGTAAAGAAACTGTCAACTAAATACAGCTCTTTCTGTGTGGGAGAAAAAAAAAGAGGAAGAACTCTTTGGGCTGTTGGATCCAAAAGATGCAGGCAAAAAAAAAAAGCCCAATTATTAATATTCCTGTTTGTAATATTTAGTCAACTCAGGCCAGGTGTTTCTAAGAGATCATACTTCAGAAGCAACTGAAGATGATGACTTGATTAAGTGTATAGGTTACTATCCTCAGATAAACCCATTATGGTCAGATATTAAAGTACAATGTTTTGAAATTTATGGATCTATGAAAGAATGAATGCAAGTGACGTGAAAGTAATAAGTCAAATAACAAATGCATTTGATTCAAAGAACTTCAGAAAACTATAAAGAAACTACCTACAGGAATAAAGTGAAAGTTATGTTTTGCAATAAGTATGCTGTGAAATCCTTATATTATTTTACCAGATGAACCATTTACAGGTATAGATCCTAAAGCAAAATAGCACATGTGACAAACAACCTGAACTGCATTTAAAAACAAAAAAGCAGGGCTGCAAGTCCAACCACTCATTACATGGAGGAGACAGAGGCTGGTGGTGGTCAAGTGGTTCATATGATTTCTGAGCAGTTAAGATGCATTGGGACAGTGCAACATCTAAAAAGTAAATTTGCTAAGAAAACTGGTTGTCCAGATGTAGAAGTATGACATTAGACTCTTATCTCACCCTGCACAAAAATCAACTCAAAATGTATCAAAGACCTAGAAATTAGACCAGAAACTCATTCCAGCATATAAGCACAGACAAAAACTTTGTCAATAGGACCCTAAAGCTTAGGAAATAATGCCAAGAGTTAATAAATGCAGTGGCATCAAATTAAAAATGTCTGCACAGCAAAAGAAACAATTTGGTATGTGAAGAGCCAATATACAGAATGGGAGAAAATCCTTGTGAGCTACTCTTCTGACAGAGGATTAATATCTAGAATATATATAAAGAACTCAAAAAATTTGTCACCAAAAAAATCAAATAATCCAGTTAATAAATAGACAAATTAATTAAACAGACACTTCTCAAAGGAGAAACACAAATAACCAACAAATATATGAAAAAATGTTCAACATCAATAGCAGTTAAGCAAATCAAAACTACACTGAGTTTTCATCTTGCACCACTCAGAACGGCAGTCATCAAGAATAAAAATAATAAGCCAGGCACAGTAATGCACACGTGTAATTCCAGCAACTCAGGAGACCGAGGCAAGAAGATTGCAAGTTCAAGACCAGCCTCAGCAACTTAGTTAGCGAGGCCCTAGGTAACTTAGAGAAAAATTAAATTATGTAACTTGCAGGAAGATGGATAAAACTTGAGAGCACTATATTAAGTGAAATAAGACAAACTCAGAAAATTAAGTGTCATCTGTTTTCTCTCATATGCAGAAGCTAGAGAGGAAAAAGAAAAAGAAAGGTGACTGCGGATCTCATGAAAATCAAAGGAGGATTAGTAGAGAAAAGGGACCAAGGAGTGGGAGGCAGGCAGGGAAGGGGCATTCTGGGGAGTGATATTGGCCAATTAAATTATCTTGTTATATTATGTGCATGTATGACTATATAACAACAAATCCCATTACTATGTACAAGTGTAATTCAACAACAAAATGTGGGGGAAAAAAATTTTTTTTAGTTTTTACTTATTTCTTTATTAATATAGAAAAGGAGCCCAACGCAGCTGGACCAGTAGTACACAGCACCAGGAGTTACTACTATTCTGGTAAAAGGGTTGGCTTTACAAAAGTGAAGGAGCAGACAGGAGCTGCCCTGCTTCTGGGGCCAGGCCCAGCCTACTGCCCAGACCTCAGAGCAGCACGTGGAATGAGCCCCTGGGAGAGAGAGCTGACAGGTTCTTTGCTGGATGAGCTGGAGTCCATGGGGACAGATGGTAGGGACAGAGGGTCAGGCAGTAAGAACCATCCTGTGGATGATAAGGGCAGGGACCTGCTGACCTGAGGCTCCCCAGTGGATCATGAGCAGGGGCTCTGAGTGGTCCTCAGCTCTGGGGGCAGGTAGAAAATGCTGTGAAAAGTGGTGGGCATGTCGAATCCAGACGTGGCCCTGGGGTGAAGGGTTTTCCTCCCTCTCTCCACTAGAAGCCACCTTTGCTCTATACTACACATGGGGCTTCATGCCCAAGGCACAAAGGGAGACTCAGAAGTCTCTCATAGGGAGGAAGATGGGGCAAGGAAGGAAGTACTTGAGTGTCTCTAGTTTAAGCAGCCAGGATAGGCATAGGGCAAGACAGCAGCATGTCTGCATAATGGGGCTAGAATATGGGATAAGGATAGGCTTGAAGTCAGTCGGTGACCAGCCCCTTGGTGTCTGCCATGAATCTGCAGTATGCACTGTGCACTACATTCTAGTCTTCACTCTGCCAGAACTATTATCACTCAGGGCCGTGTCACCATGTCCTGCCCTGGTCTCTTTCCTCATCTGCCATTGAGGGCTTTGGATATGACTTCTGAGGTCCTGGAAGTGAACAAAGCTTCAGGACCTGCTCTTGGTGGTGAAGTGGGACCTGATCCTAACCAGAACCTAGATGGAATTCGCATGGGATAGGAGTGAGGAGGTGATGGAGAGGGAAGATGTTCTTGCATGGAACCTACACCCATAAACACTCCAGAGCTAGGAAAGGCCGTTGGGAGATCTCCTCTACTCAGAGGAATGAAAGGCCACATAGAGAGGCAACGTGGATTGGTGCAATTCCTTTACAACTTTCATCTGGGTGACACTTGGCATGGAGAGACTGGAGTGGCACTGGGCAACCCTTCATATTCTTCCCCAGAGCGGGGGAGCTAAAGGCCTCTTGAGGCTTCTGCTTCCAGCCCTTAGCATGGGATCAGAAGTGCTCTTTTTCACCGTGGTCCTATCTTGGGGACAGCCTAAGACTCTGCCTGGCTGGCACATGTTAGTTGGTGAGGAAAGAACAGAGGGGTGACTAAGCAGACAGGGAGGTGACAGCAACTCTCTCCCTTTCTCCTCTTCCTCTAGCAAGAGCAGCTCAATCCACTGAGTCACAGATCTCTTCCATTACAGCATTAAAGATGTGCGGCTGGTCAGCATAGACATGATGCGATGCACCCTCAATCTCCATGTCTCGGACATAGGAATCTGGCCGCTGCATCTTCACTTTTTTTGCCATGCTAGTATCTATCCAGGTGTTGGCCCCATAGATCATGGTGATGGGTACATCTTTTCGAATTAAGTGAATTCCCTCCAACATGGGGCGCCGGGCCCAGCCAAAGGACTCCGTCATGGCTTTGAATGCTGTTTCACCACTGGGATCCTGTGCATTGCAGTGGTAGATATACTCTGATATAGTATCATCTTCAAAGAAGTCTGAAAATTTACACTTGAAGTCTGGCCAAAATCGCTGTACCAGGCCAGGCTCCCAGGGCTCAGCTACTCGAAGAATAGCCAGGGGATTGGAACGCCCCAGGACAGAAGCCATAGCCTTGACCCAGGTGGGAGGTGCACGGATCTCACCTGGGTCAGTTGGGAGGGGAAAGCCCCAAGGGTCCACCAGGATAAGGTATTTAACTCTTTCAGGGTACTTGATAGAGTAAGAGGTGGCCAGGAATCCTCCCAAACTGTGCCCTAGGAGGATCATGCTGGGGATCCCC